CTGAAATTCGTGTATACGTGCACAGTCATGTGGACATGTATTTCATGAATATCACATACCTTGCATAACCGTATACTGCAGAGGAACATACATTGGTACCTACATACATTCGTATATGCTACATGCCTACATAACAGTGTCTACATCTATGTATACAAACAGACACATAAACACGCATATATACATACATATATATATACACATTATATAATATGTATATATACATACAGACATATATNCCTTCTTTTCGTTCTTTCTCCTCTCTTCTCTTCTCCTCCTCTTCTCTCCTCTCCTTCTCTCTCTCTCTCTTCTCTCTCTCTCTCTCTCTCCTCTCTCTCTCTCTCTTCTCTCCTTCCCACTTTCCTTTTCTCCCCTTCTCCTTCTCTCTCCTCTCTCTCCTCTCTCTCGCTCTCTCTCTCCCTCTCCCTCTCTCTCCTACCTCTCCTCTGGCTCTCTCTCTCTCTCTCTCTCTCTCTCTCTCCCCTCTCTCCCCTCCTCGCCTCTCTCTCGCTCTCTCTTCCCTCTTTCTCTATTCTCTCTCCCTTCTCTCTTTATCTCCTCCTCTCTCTCCTCTCTCTCTTAGTTCATCCCCTCTCTCCTCTCTCTCCTCCCCTCTCTCCCTCTGCTCTCCCTCTCTTCTCTCTCTGCCTCCCTCTCTTCCTCTCCTCTCTCTCTCTCCCTCTCTCCCTCTCCTCCTCTCCTCTCTCTCTCTCTCTCCTCTCTCTCTCTCCTCCCGCCCTCCTCCCTCTCTCTTCTCTCTCCTCTCTCTTCCTCCTTCCTCTCTCTTCTCTCTCTCCTACTCTCTCTCTCTCCTTCCCTCTCCTCTCTCTCTCCTCTCTCTCTCCCCTCTCTCCTCTCTCTCTCTCCATCTCGACTCTCTTCTCTTCTTTCCCTCTCTCTCTCTCTCCTCCCGCTCTCTCTCTCTCTCTCTCCTCTCTCTCGCCTACTCTCTCGTGCGCCTCCTTCTCCCTCTCTCCCCCTCTCTCTCCTCTTGCCTCCTCTCTCTTCTCTCTCTCTCTCCCCTCCTCTCTCTCTCTCTCTTCTCTCTCTCTCTCCTCTCTCTCTCTTCTCTCTCCTCTCTCTTCTCTCTCTCTCTCTCTCCTCTCCCTCTCTCTCTCCCCCTCTCTCCCTCGTCTCTCTCTCCCCTCTCCCTCCCCCCCCCCCCCCCCTCTTCTATATAATATCTCTTCTCTCCTCTCACGCTTCTCTCTCTCCCCTCTCTCCCCTCCCTCTCGTCTCTAATCTCTCTCTCTCTCTCTCTTCTCTCTCCTCTCTCTCTCTCTCTCTCTCTCTCCTCTCTCTTCTCTCTCTCTCTCTCTCCCTCTCTCTCTTCTCTCTCTCTCACGCTCTCTCTCTCTCTCACGCTCTCTCTCTGTTACACTCTCACGCTCTCTCCTCGTTGTGATTTTATCTCTTTCTTTCTTTTTAGAGGCAAGAAAGACTCAAAATACGCGTTTCTCGGCCGTAAAGAAGACGGGTTGAAGCCTTTAAAATGAGAGAGTGAAAGGGGAGGAAGGAGGGAGGAGGAGTAAAGAGAGGAGATACGCAAGAATGAAAGAGAAAAATAGGGAGAGAAAGATTGGCGAGAGAGTGGACTGTGGGGGAGGGGGAGGAAGGCGGAGGAGGTGATGAGAGTGTGGAAGGAAGGAGAAGGAGGAGAGAAGGAAAGAGGGCTAAATGGGCGAAAAGAGATGGAGAGATGAAGGAGGGAGGAGGAAGAAAGGAAGAGAGAGGGAGAAAGAGGGAGGAACGAAGGGTGAATGGACAAAGAATGGAGAACATGAAGGAAGGGAAGGAGAAGAAACAAGGTAAGGGTAAATGGGACAAAGAGGGAGAAAAGAAGGAAGGAAGGGAGGGATTTAGAAAGGAAGGAAGGGTAAATGGGAGGAAGAGAGGGAGAGAAGAAGGAAAAGGGATAAGAAAGAAAGGAAAGGTGACATATGGAGGAAGAAGGAAGAAAGCCGAAGGAATAAGATTCCCGAGAAAGAAAATTTTCTTTTTCTTTCTCTAGGTAAAAAGAAGGGAAGGGATAAGTAAAATCAATTAAATGGAAAATGGAAAGAGGAAGGAAGGCAGGACGATCTGAAAATTACAAGAAAAAAGGATGGATAAAGTAAATGAAGAACTGAAAAGAATGATACGTAAGGATGAAAATAGAAAAAAAAAGGATGATGAAGTAAAGGAGGATGGAAAATAGAAGATAAAAAAATAAATTAGAAAGGAGAGGAGTAGAGAAAAGCCGAGTAAAACAAGGGAAAAGTAGAATGACTGAAAGCGAAAAAATGAAAAGATAAGGATAAGATAGGAACGAAGAAAAGGAAGCGGAAGAGAGGGAGAAGAAGATGGTGAAAGAAGGAAGAGAGGAAAAAAGAACATAAAACATACTAAAGTAAGAAGATAATGAAAAAAGGGAGAGAGGAATAGAGAAAAGAAAATGAGAAGAAACAAGGGAAGACGCGTAAGAATGAAAAGAAATAGAGATGAAGAGAAGAGAAGCGAA